AAATATTGTTTAATTTAAAAATAATGATCTTATCAAGAATATAAAAAAGGCATAATGTGGGTAAAAAAATCAATCCTCTGATTTTCTTTGTTCCCTGATTTAAAAAATTTTTAAGTTTCACTTAAAAACAAATTGGACCTATAATTTTACTCTTTGAATTCTATTTTGCTTGGCCCAAAGCCCTGAAACATTCCTACCAAATATAGCAATTTAAAAGCTTGATTTTCCCCTAAATAATATTAAAATAAATCATTAAGTAACATTTTTATAAATTGATAAATATTTTCAAAGTCACCAATTAAACAGTAAAAATTGTCAGGTTGGATAAGACAAGACTCAACTATGATGGCTATAAGGCATCAGGGCATTTGCACTCTAAATAAAAAGAAGACACAAATAAATTAAAAGTAAAATGATAGAAAAAGATATACTATGCCAACACTACCCAAAAGAAACCTGGTAGAGCTATATTAACATCAAGCAAAATAGATTTCATAACAAAGAATATAACTAGGGACAAAAAAGATTATTTTATAATGATAAAGGAATCAAACCATTAAAGAGACATAACAAAACTAAACTTGTACATACTTAATAAGAGTTTCAAAATAGATGAAGCAAAAAACTGGTAGAACTACAAGGAAAAATAGATAAATCTAGTATCAAAGTTGGAGATTTCAACACACCCTTGTCAATAATTTGCCAATAGAAAATCAGTAAAGATATAAAAGACTTAAAACACTATTTAATTAATTGATATTTCTCTAACATTATCCAACAGCAGCAGAACACACAACATTCTTTTCAAGTGCACATAGAACATTTCAGAGGTAGATCATATTCTGTGTCATAAAGTTAGTCTCATTAAATCTAATAGGATTCAAACCACACAAAGTATGCTCTCTGACCACAACAGAATTAAGGTACAAACCAGTAACAGAAAGATTTATGGAAAATCTTCAAACATTTGGCAGTTAAATACATACTTGAAAAGAACTCATGGGTCTAAGAAGATATCAAAGGAAAGTTGGAAATTAATTTAATAAAAATCGAAACACAATACATATTTAGCACATATTTTTCAGTTCCCTAACATTGGTAGGCAAACTCAGGGAGTATATATGGCAAGAAATTATTTTTTAAGGATCAAAAAGTTAAAAATCATTAGAGCTCCTGGAAGCTAGTCCAAGTCAATTTTGTTATCTTCAACTCCAAATTTTACATCTTAGTCTCAAAACTCACTGACTAAACTTGATAGAGGGCACTTAATTTTTTGTGTTTTCTACTATGGTTAATAATGTAACTAGTAAACCTAAAGCACACTTTTGAATAATGATGACATAAACTCAGGTTTGGGTTTAGGAAAAACTTAGACTCAAAGAATGACAATTATCTAGTAGTGTATCTACTATTTGTTAAAGTTGGTACTACAAACTGTAGCAAGAAATGTCTTGTCTTTAGGTATTAATTGAAGTTTTAATTCCAGTATAATTCCTGGTAATGTGCCTTGCTGATGAGCTACAGTTTATTCATCCAATAAATTGAGAAACTTGTTATACATGGGGCTATTAGCATGCTAATAACTTCTAACGTTTTGTTTACTCCCGTCAGAATAATGACTGAAGGTACTTATTTTTATTCTGGATAAATTAGATTTTAGTTCTGGATAAATTTATTCTCAGATCCCCAAGCTTCTAATTTTATACTAAATTATTTGGAAGAAAAGATGGAGGACTATAAAAGATGACACATTGAGAAGAAATGATTGCTTAAATTACTTGTTATTTGCTTTAAACATTTCCCCAAGAACACAGTGTATTAACACAAAATAAAATGGCACCGGTTTATTAATGCATTGCATTTTAAACTGTATTATATTTGCTATGATAAGTGAAGGAAAGTAGTCATTGATAGGCTATAGGCCAGACCTCTGAATGATATATTTTGATATATTTTCTTCCAATATTTTTTCTATGTATTCAAATAATGTTTTTATGTAATTAGATTCATATGTATACATTTTTGCATTCTGATAAATACATTAGGACATGAACATTTTCCAGTGTCATTAAATATTCTTCAAATACCAGTTTTTATTGGCTGTGTAACTTTATTATATCGATAGGCCATAATTCAATTAATTTCTATTATGCTTCTAATTTCTTAATATTATAATTTTAAATGAGCAAGCCATGTGTAATCTGTTTTTTAAATTTACATCCCAAGAAAAGGAATTACTGTGTAAAATTGTGTACACTTTTAAAGCTTTGACACATTTTATCAAATTGTTTTATAGAAATATTGTACTGGTATACATTCCTACCAAAATGTCCATGTTGCACACTTACCAACATTTGATGATTATCATTTCTCCTTCTGCTATTCTCTTGAGCTAAAAACATATCTCAGCTTTACATAAGAACAATTGAGGATGATCATACCTTGTTTCAACAAACATGTAAACAATTTGCCATTGTGTTGCTGTTAACTTATGTAAATTTGGTTCAGCCCTCTTCATAGAGGAAAATGTTTTACGCAGTACCATACGTTAAAAAAGTACTAGGAACTTTAATTGTTTAATTGTTTTGTAAATAAAAATGTTATAATTATTGAAAAACAACACCTAAAGTGCATTATGATCTGTAGTTATATTTAAATAACGTGCAGTTTGCCCCAAAACATGCGGTCCCTGGCGTTTGTCTTAGAGATTTCTACGAGGTCCAAAAGGTGTTAGGTGATCTCTAGCACCTGGATGATCTTCCAGTTTAGAAGTTTTACTGCCTATGATTCTAAATTTGTGTGTGTGTAATATTCAAGAAATTGCCCAGCCCATTCAGTTGTTCGACTATTTATTCATTTATCTCCATAATATTTTTATGCATCATTTGAAGAATAATAACTATAAATTCTCATAGGAGACACTAGAAATTTAATGTTCAATCTCAAACCTAATCCTTTAAAAGGGGCATAGCCTATAACCAAGAATGAAGAAGAAACATGTAATGAAAAATATTTGCCAGCTAATACATCTACAAATTTGTGGAAAGTCTAATGCATATTTCTGCTTATTAAAGATAATGTTACTTAATTCTTTATATCTGTGTATATAAACATGTATAAATGAGGTTTTTAAAATAAAACAATGTATTTGTTGGTTTTTCACTGTGAAGTTTGCTATTCAAAATCATCACACTAAAAGAATCTTTGTTAAACTTTATCTTATCAAATAATCCATTTGCACTAGTCTACCTTTAAGCTTAGATTAATAAATTGTTTTTCCTTTGGATTAATTATAAGCATTTTTGCTAAAAGAACTTTCCCTCCTTAACTAATTGTATTAATTCAAACTTTAATGAAGTGAAAATCTGATTATCAGCCATACTTTAATTTTTAATTAGTTTGAACATTTGTACATCCATTTCTGTCAATACTTCTTTTGGAGTTATTTGACTTTAAAATTAATTTTAAGGCATTAATGAAATAGTATAATTGGAAATATTTATTAAATGATTTTAAGATAACTTATAAATAACAGGAATATTTATAATGAAGATTATATAAGCATAATTTGTTGACTGTTTAGCTGATGAAAGATAATCAGGCAGATAATTTAATAAAAATGATTTGATAGGGAGTAAATATACAATGTATAATTTAAGACTAATTGAAATACTTTATGAAGTATTATAAATGATAAAGTCCAAAAGAAATCATTATACTTTGTTAAGGAAATCTTTCAAGTCTTTTCTACTTGTAAAGTCAACATATCCATTGGTGGGAAGGACACATGAACATTTTTATAACATGATATGAGTACTAGTCAAATGCGTTAAGATATTAATGCAAACACAATAGCTTTGGAGATTTTAATTTCTCCTGGACGTGGCTAAGAGATATAAATGCTTGGATAGATAATAGGGTGTTCAGGACATGAAACACATCGTTTCTATAAGAGTAATAAATAGTTTTTTCCTAGGCTGTTTATAAATCATGAAAAATGAATTACTGAGTAAATGAGGATTCTGAAAGTTTTTAATAGCTGACATTACTGTAATGCCATCTCTGTGCACTAGCTGAAATAATAGACTGATTCAGACATCATCAGCAAGCTATCTTTAAAGGTACATTAGCACCTGCAGGAAAACATTACCAAGAAACAAATCACTTAAGGCTGCCTGAGTTTATTTCCTGGCCCCAACATCTACAACTAATGGTGACCTTGGGTAAGACCCTTAACTCACTGTGCCTCCATTTTCTCATTTGTAAAAATGGGGATACTGACAGTAACTTGCAGGATCATGGTAAGCATAAAATTGGCTAATACATGGAAAGCATACAGTAAATGTTGCACAAGACTTTATATAGTTTTTGTTCCAAATGGCAATTTTTAAAATACTTGTGAAAGATACTTTATATTGGTATGTATTTCTACAAATGCAGCATAGGTTGATTTATAAAATGGCAGATAAGTAGAAAAGACTATTTTAAAAACATGTTTTAACTGAAATATTTCTTCTTGGACATTGTGCTCCACTGTAATACTTGATTAAATTGGGAAATTCACTATCAAATCTGGGTCTGGAACCCTAATTCAGTTTGCATTGCCAAGTCTTGGAGACCCTGAGAACTCTCTAGTTAAACCCAGAAGCTCAGTATTTCTTTAGCACACTTTTAAGAAATGAGTCATCTCTAGAAGTGCTGGCCCAAACTGAAACACTATCCATTAGCTTCATTTTTACATTTTGGACTTTCTATTTTGAGCAGATTTAAAAAAAAAAAAAAAAGTTGTGCAAGGAAGCTTATTTATGATGGATGAATTTTATGCCAAATTACTATTCCAGATTTGACAATGTAAAGTGGAAATCTGTTTTTTTTTAGACACAATTTCAAAGCATTTGGAAACTGTAACACTCTCATTGAAAATAACATATGCATAAGTCTTTAATTGATTTATCTTTTAAGTGTGTGCATATTTACATATTTATATTCCCTCCCTCTAGAACTGGGTAGATAAAGCTGAAAAGCAGGCTCTTCTCTCTGATACACTTGATCTATCAGAACTCTTCCATCCAGACACATTCCTTAATGCTCTTCGCCAGGAAACTGCAAGGTAATTAAAGTGAAATACTTATTTGTCCCTGAGGGTAATTATGTTTTGCTTTATTGACTTCCTGTTACACTGCCATTGATTGTCAAGAAATAAATTTAAAAAAACAAATTGTTCAAATACAGATAGTTGTTTTATAATAGTATACTTTTAATTATACAGTTAACTTTTAGTTTAAAAATCATTACTTTTAGTTATGGTTTATTATTAGAATTGAAAAAAATAAAATTTAAATTTTATCTTTTTTTTTTTTTTTTTTTTGAGACAGAGTCTCGCTTTGTTGCCCAGGCTAGAGTGAGTGCCGTGGCGTCCTAGCTCACAGCAACCTCAAACTCCTGGGCTCGAGTGATCCTTCTGCCTCAGCCTCCCGGGTAGCTGGGACTACAGGCATGCGCCACCATGCCCGGCTAATTTTTTATATATATATCAGTTGGCCAATTAATTTCTTTCTATTTATAGTAGAGACGGGGTCTCGCTCTTGCTCAGGCTGGTTTTGAACTCCTGACCTTGAGCAATCCGCCCGCCTCGTAAATTTTATCATTTTGATGATTTATCTAGACCTGTGCTATCCAATATGGTAGCCAGAAGTCACATGGAGCTATTTAAATTTTAATTAAAGTAAAATAAATATTCAATTTCTCAGTCACACTAGGTACATTCAAAGTGTTCATTATCCACATGGCTAGTGGCTACCATGTCAGGCTGCATGGAAATATTTTTATCCTTGTAGAAAAGTCTACTGGACAGTGAGTGCTGACTAGGCTTCTTGGTGGAGAATAGGACCTGATGGCTAAGATCAAGCTCCTTTTTATACCATACTCAGATTATCATATGTAGACTATAATTTTTAACAAGTTAGAATATAATAGACACTACCAAAAATATATTCAACAAAATTTAGTTGTTTAGTGACTCAATTTGTAATGTCTCAGGATATTATAAATATCAGTATTTCAGTTCAACTAATAAACACTGATTGAACACCTCTCATGTGCCTGCATTTGAGGGTCATGGTCAAACAGAGGTTATAAAAATGGAAAGAAAAAGTCTTATCCTTAAAAGGAACATCTAGGAGACTGATATATAAACAGTTACTAATAACTTTAAAAACTTAGTATAAAATCTAAGATATACATAGTGTAATAGATCTTACTATTTATACATGGTAAATATTTAAATTTTAAATAGGAATATATCTATCTTCACTTACTCTTCATATTTTTGTATTTTAATTCCTGAGGATTATTGCTTTGTGACATTTGATGCTTTATCTTTACAGGGCAATGGGTCATTCTGTGGATAGCCTTAAATTTGTAGCATCATGGAAAGGTCGACTTCAAGAAGCAAAGCTGCAAGTTAAGGTACTAATTTCAGATGTTTATCTGAGTCTAAAACTTATCATCAGTTGATATAAGAGATCCTGAAATTCTGGTCTCAAAGTTACTTGTCTCTGTAGTGTGAGATCAGCAGAGTTAGATTGTATTATCTGTGTTAAAAATCAAAGTTAAGGTTTAACATAAAACCACTTGTAATACAAAATACACAATCTGGTAGTGCAAAAATGAGAATCTTAGGGATACAATATTTGAAAGAATAACTTTTGGTAAAAAAACTATACAAATCATGAAGTTCTTTTAGATTACCTATTCTAAAATTCAATTTAATAAATAGTTACAATAAAGTGTATACAGGTTGAACATTCCTAATGTGAAAATCCAAAATGCCCCAAATCCAAAACTTAAGAGCACCAACATGACACCACCTAATGTCCACATGAGTAGTTGAGATAGGGACACCTTTGTTTTCTGACAGTTCAGTGTACACAAACTTTGTTTCATGCACAAAGTTATTACAAATATTGTATAACATTACCTTCAGTTTATGTATATACAACATAAATGAATTTTGTGTTTAAACTTGGGGCCCATCCGCAAGATATTTCCTTATATTTATACAAATAGTCACATTTCACCTAATATTTATGTCAACGACTAATCACACATAATATAGTAGTCTCATTATGATAGAGCTGAAACATTCCTATTGCCTAGTGACATCTGTCATGTACATCAGAGCCATCCTAATGTTGCAGTGCAATGTATTACTCACTTGTTTGTGGTGTTACTGATGTAAACAAACCTACTACACTGACAGTCATATGATAGTATAGTACATACAATTGTATACAATATATAATACTTGATAACTAACAACTATGTTTCTGGTTTATGTATTTACTATACTATACTTTTTATTGTTAGAGTTTCTCCTTCTAATTGTCTTAAAAAAAAATAAAACAGGTCCTTCAGGATGTATTTCAGAAGGCATTTTTATCATAGGAGATGTCTACTCAATGCATGTTATTGTCCCCGAAGACTTTCCAGTAGGACAAGATGTGGAGGTGGAAGATAGTGATATCTTGATGATCCTGACCCTGTGTAGGCCTAGGCTAATGTATATGTTTGTGTTTTAGTTTTTAACAAAAAAAGTTCAAAAAATAAAAATTAAAAATTTCTAAAAAGAAAAATTCTTATAGAGTAAGGATATAAAGAAAATTTATTTGTATGGCTGTATGATGTGTCTGTTTTAAGGTAAGTGTTAATACATAAGGGTCAAAAGTTTTAAAAAATTAAAAAGTATAAAGTAAAAAGTTACAATAAGCTAAGGTTAATTGAAAAAACTTTTTAGTGTAGTTTTAGTATACAGTGTTTATAAAGTCCGCAGTAGTGTACAGTAATGTTCTAGACCTCCACATTTACTCACTACTCACTGACTTCCCCAGAGCAACTTCCAGTCCTGTAAGCATTATTTGTGATCAGTGCCCTATACTGCTGTACTATTAGTATCTATCTTTTATACTCCATTTTTACTGTGCTATTTCTTTATATAGCTATATCTAGGTACCCCAATACTTACTATTGCAGTACAGTTGATTACAGCATTCAGTATGGTCATATGCTGTATGAGTTTGTAGCCTTGGAGCAATAGGCTATAGCCTGGGTATGTAGTAGGCTATACCATCTAGGTACACTCTATAATGTTCACACAATGATGAAATCACCTAACTGTGTATTTCTCAGAACATATTCCCATCATTAAACAACACAACTGTATCCAAAAATCAAAAAAAATCTGAAATTCAAAATATTTCTGGCTCCAAACATTTTGGATAAGGAATATTCAACCTGTATAAAATATATAAAAAATTAGGCCAAATCTTGTCCTCAAAAATCAAGCCATCTATGATGATCTATTTCTTTTGTAGTATACATTTTCATAGCTCTTTTTCCTGTTAAAATCCATTACTTTTACAATAATAAACATTAATAACTAATTAAAAAGTCTGTTATGGAAACCTTTTCCCCTACAACTCCAACCTTCTTCCATATCACTAGCCCCTCTTCCCCTGCCATTCCCTACCATCCTTTCTCATTTCCTCACATAGAATTGCTCTTAACATTTTTTTCCACTGCCAATATGACATTTTGTATGTTGGGCTGTGATTATACATCCATATTGGTCTGTCTTATGAGACTGTAATGTCATTGAGGACAAAGGCTTTGTCTTATCCATCTTTAGATCCCCAATATCTAGTCCAGTATATTACACATAATTTTTTAAATTCAATGTATGACTATAGTTCTTTAACACAGCTAACCTTATGTAGCCAGCTTTTCAGTTCTATTTATATTACTCTAGTTTCCTGTTCAACAAATTTGTTTTCATATTGCTACTACTTCCTAACATACTATATAATTTATGTTTGTTGTTTTATTCCACTGGAATGTAAGTCCCATGAGGGTAATTTTTTATCTCAAATGCCTCAAACAAGAGCTGTTATATAAGCATCTATTAAACCCTTTTTGAATAGTTGAGGGCCTACAATTGATGACAAACAATAGTGGGTATTCTTAACATTAACTATAATGGTGTAGTGTACTAGAAATTTGATCATTAACAATAAGGCGATATTTTTCTTTTAGCTCTATAGGTTGCCATAAAATTCTCACTTAAAGCTGAAGGAATTAGAAAAGTTCTCTTTCATCCCTTTGGATTTTATTTTAACCTTAGCCTCTAGCCCATAAGGAGAACTACCTTAGCTATTACTGGTGGTCATACATTGTTGCCTAATTGTCAGGAGGAGGAAACACAAGACATGTATAAGCCAGGTATATATCATACATAAACATTTATAGACCATTTTACCTAGTCATGTGGTCTTTGACAGCTGTCAACCAGACAATATAGTTCAAATATAGGAGTATAAAATGCAAGGGAAGCCAGTTTTATTCTGTGTCAAGGTGTGTTTATATTTCCAGAACTTTGTTGCCCCTGGTCTTACAAAATGGAAATAAGGTTATCCATAACCAGAAAATTACAAGCTTATATAATTATATTTCATAGATGGAGGGAAAGGCTGACAGGCAGTAAAATAAGATTCTAGTCTTAATTTTCCAAAAAAGAGCCATGTGAGCTTTTTAAGCAATTAATGAAATAGTCTGAGCCTTGGCCTTCACAGTTATAAATGAATTTAAATAACTTCATTTACATACTTATGAAGATTTCTGAATATATATATGTACCTATATACAATGTGTATATATATATTCAGATTATATATGCTTAGGTTTCATTGAGTCTATTTCTTAATTAGAAATGAAAGTATTTTTTAATATAAAGTTCTCTATATACAATAAAGTAGAATTATTTCCTATTTTCATTTGGGATTCATTAAAAGTATGTTGTTAAAAATTAAAATATTCACTGGTAAATATATAGTAATGGATAAATTTGGTATAGTGGCCAGAAAATAATTGTCATTTTTATTAGTAATATATTTTCACATATATTTACAACTTTAATTTAAAAAGCCATGCCCACACATGAGATTTAAGATAATTCAACAGAATTTTTCCTCTTCCTGGTCCATTCATGTGAGCTATAAAAGCACAGTTTCTAACTTACTTGTAGTTTCCAAAAATATTTATCAGGGATAATATTTAATGAAAGAACTACACAATAAAAAAGTTAATCATGTTCAAACTTTCCCAAAATCTGAATGTATTTTTTAAAACAAAAAAAATCGTGGTACAAATTTATGTTTCAGTTAGCATTTGCTCAAAGCACCCCAAACTTAGTCGCTTAAAACAATAACAATTTATTATTTTCTCACAACTCCATGGTTTGCCTGGGCAGTTACTCTGCTGATTTACTCAGACTCACTCTGCAGTTGCATTCAGCTATGTCACTGATAGGAAGGTACATGCTGGCCTCACTCACATATCTTAGTTCTCCTTCACCTGGCCTCATACTCCAGTAGACTAGAAGAGCTTCCTTATGTGGTAGTCTCAGTACAGTCTTCCAAGAAGGCAAACCCTAGCTTTAGAAGTTGCTTGAAGTTCCTCTACAATATTCTATTGGTCAAAAGCAAGTTACAAGATCAATGCAAATTCAAGGGGATAGAAAAGAAATTCTACCTCCTGATGGTAGAAGCAGCAAAACTTGTGTTGCAAAGGGATGTGCATGCTATGATGGGAAAAATTTGGGGCCATGTTTTGTACTCCATCACATTACTATCAAGGTATGGCCATGAGACAGTATGGTGTTGGTGTAGAGAAAGAGACTAATGCAACACGATAAGAAGTCTAAGAATGAACTTATGCCTGTAGGAAAACTTGGCACATGAAAAAAGCATCAGTTGTTACAAACTAGGGGAATGGAAGGGCTGTTTGATAAATGAAACAATTGCTTACTCAGAAAAACACATTTGATCCATACTTTATATCATAAATCAAAATTGATTCTGAAGTTTTAGAAAGCAAAGTTATAGAAATAAAACATTTTGGAAAAGACTTAATAGAAACAAAAATATAGAAAATATATTTACTCAGAATTTACACAAAACAGTAAAAGTCTTAAAGGAAAAAACTGATAAAACTTGCTACCCTGAAATTAAAAAGACACTATGAAAAGTAAAAATACACAGACTGGGAAAAGATACTAACATCTTGCCCTGCTACTGAGAGAAGGGTGTATACGGCATCGTTCTGGATTCGTCATTGTTACTTAAAGGGAAACTTTCACAATGTCTGGAGCCTTGATGTCCTGCAAATGAAGAAAGAGGATGTCCTCAAATTCCTTACAGCAGGAACCCACTTAGGTGGCACCAACCTTGACTTCCAAATGGAACAGTACATCTGCAAAAGGAAAAGTGATGGCATCTGCATCATAAATCTGAGGACTTGGGAGAAGCTTCTGTTGGCAGCAAGTGCCATTGCTGCCATTGAAAACCCTGCTCAAGTCAGTGTCATATCTTCCAGGGATACTCTCCAGCAAGCTGTGTGAAGTTTGCTGCTGCCACTGGTGCCACTCCTATTGCTGGTAGCTTTCCTCTTGGAACCTTCGCTAACCAGATCCAGGCAGCATTCTGGGAGCCATGACTTCTGATGGTTACTGATCCCGGGGCTGACCACCAGTGTCTCACAGAGAAATCTTACATTGTCCTGCCTCCTATTGCTCTGTGTAACACAGATTCTCCTCTGCATTATGTGGACATTGCCATCCCATGCAACAACGAGAGAGTTCACTCAGTGGGTCTGATGTAGTAGATGCTGGTCCAGGAAGTTCTCCATGTTCACAGCACCATCTCCCATGAACACCTTGATCTCTACTTCTACAGAGATCCAGAAGAGCAGGCTGCTGCTGAAAAAGCTATGACCAGGGAGGAATTTCAGAGTGAATGGACTGCTCCAGCTGCTGAGTTTATGACCATTCAACCTGAGGTTGCAGACTGGTCTGAAGGCGGCTTGCAGGTACCCTGTGTGCCTATCTAGAACTTCCCCACTGAAGCCTGGCTCAGCCTGCCTTGGAAAACTGGTCTGCAGCTCCTACTGCACAAGCCACTGAATGGGTAGAAATAACCACTAAATGATCTTTCCCTGTTCCACAGGCTCTTTAGATAGAAGTAAGGTTGATGGAAAATAAACATCAGTTTCTAAAAAAAAAAAAATAAAAAATCATTGAATAATCAACAAAAGATTAGAGCTTAAAACATATGGAGGACTTTTACAAATCAATCTTTAAAAAAAAACATTCCCATAGTATGGAAAAAGGGAAGGTTGGCAAAGGATTTTAATAGGATACTTATATGAAGAAGGAACCTGAATGGCTAATAAACATAAGGAAAAGTACTTGTTCTCACTAGTAATTTGGAAAATGAAATTAAGACCAAAATCTGATTCCATTTCATACTCATCAGATAGGCAAAATGTTTAACTCTCAAGAGACCAAGTATTGGCAAGGTTGTAAAATGATGGAAATTATTATACATGACAAGTAGGAGTACATACAGATTGGTAGAATGGGGAATAATTTGCCAAGATTAAGTAAAATTGAGAACGAGCATAACCTTCCAACATAGTAATTTCATCTCCGTACCTAGAGAAATTCATGCAAATATGTATAAGGAGGCACAGATCAATGTTTATTGCAGTGTTTTTTAATAGTAAACAATTAAAAATGACAAATTCCTTAGCAGATAATTATATATTAACAAAATGAAAAATTGTCTAGCTGTTAGAAATGAAAGATCAAAATGGATATATCTTAAAAACCAATGATGAGGGAAAATAGGTTGCATGTTACCTTTTACATACAGTTTGGAAACATGAAAATGTGTTTTATGGATACATATATATTTGGCAATTATATAAGTAAATTCAGGCCAAGATATTTTAGAAACTCTTAAAATGACCTATACTTTATATCAGTGATATAACAGAAAGAATGTTGAAGTATTAATAGTTGTATTTTTATCCCAGCTCTTTCACTAACAAAGTTATTTATCTTTTCCATGTAATAGCAGCCTTAGAGAAATGAAAGTGATTCAAAACTGTTTGAAAAGACATACTCCTAGCACCTCCATTCCCTAACTATAATAGAGCTAAAAATTAACTCTTCCAACTTAAATTGTTCCTTTAGCCCTAATTTCTATAATTCTTTCATTTAATATGTTTAAACTTGAAGATGCTATATAATATTTATAAGCTTATTTATTGTACCAAGTTCAAATTATGAGAATATAGATGTGGCTCTGAAAGTAAAATATTCAAAGATCTATGAATGCAAAATACTGACTCTGCTGCCTTTAGATACAGTAGATTAACACTGGAGAAAGTAAAAGAATGAACACTTTCAAAGATGATATATGAAGGTAATATTGCCAAAGCACTATATTTTGATTTTCAGAATTTCTTAAATTTACACTGAGGTTAACATAGAGAAAGACACTCTTTCTCCTTTTTTCCCCTTCTTTCAGCTCTGCTTTGCATGTCAAGAATTTTTTTCATTAAACTTTCTGAACTTTGCTCTATTCTTTAAAAGATGTCAGAATTCCAAGCAGGGTATGCATTTGCTCTCTAATTATGCTTTTCTTCCCTCCCTTCTGGAGAAAGAATAACTTTCTGGCCTTAACCACTATATTTCTATTGATCTAATGTCAAGGCAGCTGCAGTTATATAACTGATGACATTTGTAAGTATTTATTTCTAAAAATATTCACTAAAAATTATAATTCATTTTTAAAAGTTTACAGTGAACACTGGTCCAGGTCTTACCATTACTCTCAAATAAAATAGCATAATCTTTGTTTTCATTGGAATACTTAGCCACAATGGAAATATTGCTTTTGTTCCTAAGATATAATACAGTAACTCCTGACATTTCAGACATTAATACATATTTTAATGATTTATGTGTTTCTATGGCAGATCAGTGGCTTACTGTTGGAAGGATGCAGTTTTGATGGAAATCGACTTTCTGAAAATCAGCATGATTCTCCTAGTGTGTCATCAGTCCTTCCTTGTTTTATGGGCTGGATTCCACAGGTAAGACATTTTTAACAGGCACAAATTTTAATGTCATCAATTTGAGCTTAGATTGTATCTTCTTAATAAGATATTTTTGGCTTGTGTTTTTTTTGTTTTGTTTTGTTTTCTAATCTTACCTGCATTTGAACAAATTTGCAGCCAAAATATTTTATCTTTTATAATTTTAAAAATGTATAGGACATTTTAAAACATTAATTTTGTGGAAAGAATAATGTAGTTTTAATTTCAAAAGAATTTATAGCCTGGTAAGGAAAAAGCCTTTAATGACAATAAGAACTACCATTTTATTATGTTCTCCTTATTGTCAGCATGTGTTCTAGGTACCTTATATTCTTTACCTCAGAGCAGTTGTACAAGGAAGGCATTATTATTCCCATTTTAAAATAAGGAAACATACACTGGTTAGATGACTTATGTCAATCAGGCACACAGAAAGTGACAGAATCAAGGTGTTAATATGTATCTGTCCTTATATCACACTATGTCATTACGCTTCATCTGCCAGATGAAAAAACAATCTTGACAAAGACTTATGTGGTTAACTTTTCCCCATTCAAAACTTTCAATTATTGAAAGCTTTTTCAGTAATTGAACTTGGGCATATGTGCCTTTAAAATAGGACATAGGTGTAGATGAAGCATATAACGTTCTTAATGAAGTTTAAGAATGTAAGTATAAATGCACGTGAATAAACTTTACAGTTTTGATCCTGTATCTAACGAGCAATAAGACTATTTCATGTATTGCTCACTACAAGAAAATTCTCTTTATAAAATGAAAAGCATCAGAATATTTTTTTAAAAAAACTAATAGACCAGACACAGTGGCTCATGCCTATAATCCCAGCATTTTGGGAGGCCAAGGGAGGAAGATCACTTAAGGACAGGAGTTCAAGACCAACCTAGGCACAACATAGCGAGACCCTGTCTCCACAAAAAATAAAAAAATTAGCCAGGCATTGTGGCACATGCCTATAGTCCCAGCTACTCAGGAGGCTGAAGGTGGGAGGATCATTTGAGCCCAGGAATTTGAGGAGGTTGCAAGGAAGTATAATCACTGCTGCAGTCCAGCCTGGGTAACAGAGTAAGACCCTGTCTCTAAAAAAATAAAACATAAGAAAGCTGTAATAGCAATAATAGCTGAAATAGCAGTTATTACTCAGAGATCTGCAAGAGTATCCTGAGCTAAGGAGCATACATTGCTGTGAAACTTCCTATTTTTTTCCCCATCAGCTTCATTTTCTCCAAAATGAGAGTGACTATGAGATGAAACGAGGTTATAAGAATCTTTGTTTTACTTCAATCTTGCTATTATAAAAAGTTTCCCATCAAAAGTTGGTAAATTATGGCACACAAATTTTTCTCTTAGGAGTGTGAACCAAACTGAAAGCTACAAACAAGGTTAGAATTTGCCAACAGTTGTAAATATAACAAAGTTGTTTATGATAACAGATAAATTCTAATGAATCCAAATCATGTGACATGCTAATTCTCTGGAAAATAAAATTAAAATCCTTCTAATGACCTTGAGGTGGGGAAAAAGTAGGACAAGTATAAATTGGTTCACTTAAGGAGAAATTGCAGCAATGAAAATAGAGCATGGAGAGTAACTGTCTAGGAATAAATGTAGATGAAAATGACCTAGAGCAATAGCCACATAATTGACCACAAATCTGGAATGCAGCGCTGTTATGGACAAAGCCAGCCTGTGACTGGGTTGTATGAAAAGCAGTGTGACTTTATGAGACCAGGAATTGATACTTTTGCAATATTTTACTTCAGGTATCATTTCTATCAAGTTTCATCATACTTTAAAAAACTCAGCATTAGAAAAGCTAAAAATAATGTGAAAAATAGCTCATGTAAAGGGAGGTAAAATGAATTGTGTATTTAGCCTATAAAATACATGACTAAAAGGTGATATGAATTTTTCATTATTTTGATATAAGGGATTTTTCCCCTAGGCTTTTTCACAACATGTAATAGAAGGATTTATTGGAACTTCCCTACCTCCCTCCTTTACAGGGAGCCTCTTTTTCCCTATAATCCTAGTACTTTCAGATTGTCTTTCCCATGGCAGCTTAGAAGAATATGAGACTTATTGTTAAGTGTTCCAGAATACACAATGCAGCAGACCTAAATCCAGTCCCAGCTCCCAAGCTTATGAACCAGGTGATTTAGGCAAAGTACCAAACCTCATTGAGCCAGTTTCCTCATCTAAAAATGGAGATAATGATGATGTTTCTATAGGACCACGCTGTCGATTAAATACGTCCTTATGTGTGTAAAGTACCCCCAGCGTAGTGCCTCACATATGGCTGGCCTAATTTATCCTATTGCCAATATTTTTAAATGTTTTTATAATAGTATAATCATCATCTTATTTCAAATAGTGCTATATAGTTTAGAACAAATTCATTAAAGTGGACAAGGCATTCCAGATAGAAGGGGCAGCGTATGTAAACTTGTGGAAATATGAAAGAACTTAAGTTATTCTGGGAACTAGAAGTAGAATACACCTGGAGTATATGGTTCATATGGAATATGAATAGAAGGCCAGACTAAGTTGGATAAGTCAAGTAGCCATGCCAAGTTTAGACCACCACCCTATGGTCAGTGGAAAGCCATTAAGAATTTAGAACAGGAATGTAGTAAGATCACATTTGTAGTTTCAGAAAATTGGTCTAGCAGTGAGACAATGGAGAATAGATCACACAGGGTAAAATACAATTATACTTACCTTTCATAGCAATCCCAAGTTAGGTAGAGCAGGTTTTCTGTTTTGCTAATGAAGGAACAGAGTCCATAAGTGACTTATGAGTTTCACAGGAGTTGCATTAAGGTTTGAATAATCAGCATTTATTTGTACTGATTGTGTACCAAGCGCTATGCCAGTTGTTTGAAATACAAGATATTTAAAACTTGCAGAAATTTTTGAAACAGGGATTATCATCTTTATTTTCAACTGAGGTTTAAAAGATTAAGTAACTTGCCCAAGATTACATAGTTAACAGGTAAGCAACTAAAATTCAAATCCAAATATCTCTCTTAAACCTTAGGCTTAATACTGAGCCACCCTAATGGTATAAAGTGGGTTTGGAAAACTATAGTCTATGGGCCAAATCCAATATGTTGTTTGTTTTTTATATAGCCATGACCTTTGAATGGCTTTTCCCTTTCTAAAAAGTTGAAAAATGCAGAAGAATAGTATTCCATGGCATGTAAAAAAAATATGAAATTCAAATTTCAGTGTCTGAAGTTTTATTTAGAAAACAGCCACGTCCATTGTGTACATATTGTCATGGCTGCTTTCAGGCTACAATGACAGAGTTTAGTATTTGTGTCAGAGACCACATGGCTTATGAAATCCTAAGACATTTACTCTCAGGCCCTTTATAAAAAAAATTTCTGATCCAGTATAAGCTCTCCAACTTCTGCTCAGATTAAACATTCTTTTAAGAAAGTTTTTTTTTGTTTGTTTGTTTTGTTTTTTTTACAGTGACTGTAGCTGTTTTTAATAAGTTTTACAGAATTTGGAGTGGAAAAGAAGCATTAACATTTTAACACATTTCTATTAGGAGAGAAGAAAGCAGTGTAAAACCAAAAGAAGCATCATAAATTTATATAAGCCAGTTTTAAAAAGAATTACTTTTGCCATTTACTCCTACAGGTGCTTTGTTACAGAAAGCCCAGAATTTTTTAGTCAGCTTGAATGAAATAATACAGTTAACCAACTTTGGTGACTAAACTTTTTTAGGCCAGAAAGAAATTTTTTCACAATATTATCTGACACCCACTAGCCCCAAATAGCTTAATTCTAGCAAACCCCGTCATTTGCACATCGCTTTGAAGTAGGCTGCACATTTATTTTTCAAAGAAGAACATTTCAGGTTACAGAAAATGGAAAAACTTCTGTGACATTGTTTTAATATGTGGCTATACTTAAAAGGATATCAGCAACAAATTTTAAGACTTTTATTGGGGTGGGGGGATGCTCTATCATCACTTCTATTTTTAATGCAGTGTACTTTGTGAATAACAAAATGAAGTGCAAATTTAAGTAAAATTGAAAATAAGTAAAATGCTGGTTAACTATTTCCTAGTGTTTGTCATTATGCATACTAAGATAATGTTAATATAACTGACACACCATGCAGTCATGATGCAGTTGTTAAAGGCATTCCAATTCCAGCTCAGTGCTGTTGGTTAAATTACTACAGGTCCAAACTAATATGTCCCTAGGGAATTTTACCCCAAAAAGCACTAACTTTTTCCTAAGTATTTTCCAGCATGTTTCTATACAACATCATTCCAGGATTAATTCTCTGTGAAAAACTGTTCAAACAAATTTAATAAACACAGTATTCCCTTCCATTGGAAATTCTTGTATTAAAAGCTCTAAAACAGGATCCACACCTCCCACCTCTCACAAAAATCAACCCACAATAGATGACAGACTTAAACCTAAGGCATGAAACCATAAGAATTCTAGAAGAAAATGTTGGAACAACTCTTATAGACATCAGACTAGGTAAAGAATTTATGAGGAAGACCCCAAAAGCAATCACAGCATCAACAAAAATAAATAAATGGGACCTGATCAAATTAAAAGGCTTCTGCACAGCCAAAGAAATTATCACTAGAGTGAATAGCCAACCTGCACTTAATTGTGAAGATGTGGAAACAGCCCTAGTGCCCATCAATACATGAGTGGATTAACAAAATGCGGTATATGTACCATGGAGTAAACTCAGCCATAAAAAAAATTATGACCTACCTATTGTATTATCCTGGATGGAGCTGGAGCCCATTCTTCTAAGTGAAGTATCACAAGAGTGGAAAAACAAACAACACATGTACTCACCATTAAATTGCTACTAATTGATCAACACTAATGTGCACATATGGGAAGTAACATTCATTGGGTGTTGGGCAGGTGGTCGGGGAGGAGAGGATGGGTAAATCCACACCTAATGGATGTGGTGTGTGCTACTGGAG